ACTTGGGGTATCGATGTCTTGATAGAAAAAATTACACTTATATTAACCATCCCGCCCATTTTATTGAAACCATTTTTTCATTTATAGAAACGAACATTGCATTAATACTTTTGTCCGAGTCGCTTCTTCTTCCTACCTTTGCGTATGTCTTTCAATTCACTCTCACTTTGTTTCTTGTATAAGTCGGCATCACTTTGTGCCACCTTTGGTTCTCATGTCCTCATCTCAAAACACTACTTATTTAACATCCAAAGTTGTTGCCTCTCCACATGAGCTAAACAAACCATCAACTATCCCAAAAGAACCGTCATGCCTAATCATCCATAAGTGGAAACAAATAACATAAAGAATGCCAAGCCTAGTCAACCCCTATCCCATGCCCACTAACTCACTCTAATCAATCATGCCTAATAAGCCACAAGGTACCTAACCCTTAAACAAGCCTATAGTTCAAAGCCCATTCAGCCCTCGGTCCGTGTCCATTACCTCAACAAAGCTTTTGATAATGACTCTACTCAAATCCCACTATCATCCCAACCCATGTCTCAAAATAAAAATATCACCCACCACTTATCTCCCTTACTTAATAGCCACACACCCAACTTACTATCATTCTCCCATTCCTCTATTTCTTCCCTAACTTTAAATTGCCCTACTCGCCTCTCCAATTGCAGCTCGCCCAATGGATTAAATCTTGTACTAGATTTTAATCACTACGATTTAGATCATTCAAAGACTAAACCCACTCCAACCGTGTCATCTCAAACCTATCCCAAGATAACCGATGGTATGACCAAGACATATAAGCCGAATGCCTTTATTACTATTACTCAACCAAGTGGTCCATGAGGCTCCTTCTTGCTTTTTGAAGCATGCCAACACTTACCATGGTGAGCAATGATGGTAGCTAAAATTTAAGCTCTCCTCCATACGAGTACTTGGTCCTTGGTTCCTCTCTTCTTCTATGAACGTCATTGTCAACATATGGGTTTTTAAGATTAAAAACAAGTGGATGGAAGCATTGAAAGGCATAAGGCAAGTTTGGTTACAAAGGGGTATAATCAATAAAAGGGAGAGGATTATGAGGAAACCTTGAGCTCTGGTGGTAAAACCCACAACGATTCATTGTGTTTTGGCCTTTGTTGTGTCTTCCGGTTGGGCAATTTAACAATTAGATATTGATATAAGTATTTTTAATATGTCTTTAGGTGTGTTTTTATGGTAGTAATTGTGCTTAGGAGTTACTTTTATGTTTTTAATAATAATTAGAATGTTTTATTTTAAGTTTTAAATGTTAAAGAAGTGGTTTAGGCCATTACTCTTTGTTTTTATGGTAATTATTGCGGATTAAGGACGTTTAAAGCTTTAAAATTATACTAGCCACATAATGCACCATCATGCAGAGTTGCACAATCACAAAGAAGCTACTGGAACTAATTTGTGCACGATCGTGCACTCGCACGACCAAAACCGTGACATTATGACAAGTAACCGAAGAGCCATTTATTTGGGCGAGCTGAGCGAATATAAAAGAAAGCCATAAGACAAAAGGAAGGGGACGATTTTTGGGAGCAAGAAAACAAGAAAACAAACGAAGAAGAAAGGGAGCCCAAGAATTAAAGAAGAAGATTAGAAGAAGTTTTTGGTAACATTCAAGAGTTCTTTCTTTCTTCATATTTTGTTCTTGTTTTATGACTCTAATTGTTTTTAATATGTTATTGTCAATCATGATGATGGATTGCTAAATTTTCATTAGGGATTAACTATTGAAACATTCCTTTTGATGTTAATCTTTTGGGTTTAATATTAGCTTTGTGATGTTTATTGTGCTTCATACTCTAATTACAATTGAGAAATTGAATTGGATGATTTATGTTATGTTTCAATGAGAATTGTTGCATAATAGATCGGTGAACATCGGGTTAATTGATGATTATAGAGAGATCATGATTGTTGATTAATTGCTTGAAAGATTGCTTAAGGAATTGATTGAAACGATTTAGGTTTGGGGTTATTAGTTATGAAACTATAATTTCGCTCATGTTTCTTCAAGTCGATAGTTTAGTTGTTGCTTGAGAGAGAATAACTAACACCATTGGATATCTAGAGCCTTAGTTGTATTAAATCCATCGAAAGACCGATACGAGATGTGGATAGTGTTAATTCCTAGCCTATTAAACCTTGATCAATTTCTTTAAGTTTTCGGTAATTTCAATTCTTGTTTCGTTATTGAATCCTTACTTGATTTATATATATCATCTTTATTGTATTAATCTTAAACAAATCAAAACTAAGACAATTGGTGGATAAAACATAGTCCTCGTGGGAACGATATCTTTTTATACTACTTGAGCGATCCGTACTCTTGCGGAATCAAAAGATATCCATCAAAAGATATCCATAACACTTTTCTTAATGGTACTCTAAGCAAATCGGTGTTTACGAATCAACCAATAGGTTTTGCAAATGCTAATTACCCTAACCATATCTCGCCACCAAAGCATAGATCACTCTACGGGTTAAAACAATTTTATAGATCTTAGTTCTTATGCCTCAATGACTTTTTGATTGATTTTGGGTTTGTTGGTTTTAAGATAGATAATTCACTCTTCATTTATAATTCCACTAGTTATAGGGTTTTTTTTTGCTCATTTATGTAGATGACATCATTATTATAGGGAATGATCCTTTGTTTCTATAGCGTATTATTTAGACTATGATCTCTAAATTTGGCACAAGAGATCTCGACCCTTTGAATTTCTTCATTGGTATTGAGATAATACATACCAAGAATGGTATCCTTTGACCCCAACATCAATACATTCTGGATTTATTAGCCAAGCATGGCATGACAAACTACAAACCGAGTCTTTACCCCAATGCCAACCACTTCTAAGTTGACAAAGGATTTCATTGCAACCTTTGAAGACGTTACATTACATAGATAGGTTGTTGGGGCCTTTACAATATGCTATACTTACCAAACCATACATCACATATGTTGTCAATAAACTATGTCAGTTCATGCGAGCTCCTACCACCGACCATTGGATTGCTACCAAATGAATTCTTTAATATCTCAAGAACATTGCATCTCTTAGTCCGCACCTTCGCAAGCATGTGTCTTGTATTTTTCAAACTCCGACTGGGTCGGATCTATGGATGGCAGAAAGTCTATAAGGGGTTATGCTATCTACATTAATCCGAATTTGATCTTCCGGAAATCATCTAAACAAAAGACTATTGCTAGAGGCTCTACCGAAGCAAACTATAAAGCTATTGTTGATCTAGATGCTAAAATGACTTGGGTCACTTCCCTCCTTGTCGAACTTGGGAAGGTCTTGCCTTCAAAAAAAATTATTTTATGCGACAATATTAGGGCTACATACTCGACAAGTAAATCCACTATTCCATGCATGGATAAAGCACGTTGAAATTGAATTCCATTTTGTTAGAGACATGGTTTTGAAGAGGAGTCTTCAAGTCTTGTTCATATCTAGTCAATATCGGATTGTTGATATTCTTACAAAACCATTATCAACATGATGTTTCTTATTTTTGCTTGACAAACTATCCGTGGGTGTAAGACCACATTCTATTTGTGGGGGAGTATTAAGACATGCTTCTACTTCCTCTTCTCCAAAGACTTCCGAGCATCGCCGCAACTCCTACTACTACTATTGTCATGAGTGCAACCACTCGCTATTGTCGTGAGGAATCCTATTGCTGCTATTGTTGTTACTACTATTGTGAGTGCAGCCACAACTATCGTCATGAGGACTCCTGCTGTTGCTATTGTTGCTATCGTGTGGAGTCCTACTCGTTGCTACTTCGACTCTATCTTCAAAATCTCTTCAATGTGTTCAACAACAAAATAGATTCATAACATAGATAGGTTTCTTATCTCTTGTACATATTTATATTTATCTACTATGACAAACAATATATATAAAATAGGGTATCACAAAATAATACCTAGAGAGAAAATATTCTACAAACCCAAACACTCTCATTGGCATCTTGCGTCTACCCTCTACTGAATTTAACTATTAATATCAAATATTAGATTATATCTGAGAGATAAATAATATTGACATTTTAGATGGATACAAGAATGGATTGACATTAGCAAAGAAATAAGTACGTACCAATAGCACCACCCGCCACTATAGAATTGCAGCCAATGCTACACCACTGTTAATTCTGATTCATCGTGAACAATAAAGAGTAATGACTCAAATATGCCCATCTTATAATTATTCGTATATATAAAGCCCATAATCATCACGAGAACGTAAATATTTATCAACTTCTCCTTTTTGCTTTTAAGTTTTGGGAGCATTTACCAGCCACTGGACCGAGCTAGTTCTCTCTTCCCATGATCAGCATGCAGTCCTAATCTTTATATCCCTTTCTTTCCTTATTTTAAACGTAAAAAAGGTAGACCACGAAACCATGGAACCCGAACAGTTAGATTAAAGCTCCATCGGTCTTATCTTTGAATTTTCTCCAATTATAATTTCTCACAACATGTAAACATTTTTTGTTTCACTTTATGTCTTCCATAGTTCATTGACTAATAATATTAAGATGACATACGGTGATGAATCACTTTCAATCTATTTTCACACAACGAATCAAAAAATAAAATGCATGTAGGATTGATGCAACTCGTGAATCCTCACGAGGGTAAAAAATTCCATACTTTTTATGACGCATGAACGACCGTCTTTATTCATACGCATACCATCTCCATCAACTCCCTTGTGTGTCAATTTTCTCTGCATGCAAATCCCCTAGCTAGCCTAGCCAGTAAAGCAATTTGCTCATTAATATTGATTGCACTGAGAAGCAACTCTTATCTGTAACTGTAAAGTGCTTTCCAATCAGCATCATGACTCGAACAAACTGCTCATACTATATATATATATACAAGCACTTGCATCAGCCTTAGAAATTATTAGTTTACATTCAATCAAAAATTTTCATTTTTGAAGGATATGGTACCAGCAATATTGCTATCGAAAACAAGAAGTGTTTGTGGTGATCACGGTATTGTCTATTCTCATTAATTGTCAAATTTGTCTACTTGTATTTAATTGGTCTCTCTCTCTATGTGCAGAGCGACAAAAGGCTTCGAAGAGTGGTATCTGACATTTCATATGAAATTGACAAATATGAAACTTTGGAAGCCATTGCTACGATTGATGAAGTCAAGCAAGCAGAATGTGAATGTTGTGGACTCAAAGAGGACTGCACGCAAGATTATATCTCGAAAGTTAAGGGGTCTTATTCGGGTAATTGGGTCTGTGGCCTTTGTTCTGAAGCTGTTAAAGAAAGATTGACACAAGGTCCAAAAGTGGCCATTCAAGAAGCTGTTTGCTCTCACAGGGATTTTTGTCAAAAGTTCAACAACACCACTAGACTCAATCCTAAACTCTCATTAACGCGTGCAATGAAGGATATAGCAAAACGAAGTTGTGAGAATAGAAGCTTCAAGAATTTGCCCACGTCAAGACTTCCTCGAAGCAGTAGCTGCGTTCCAAGGATTGATCTCAACCGTTAATCAGTGTAATCCAGTCAACTCTCAGTCTCTCTGCCAACTATATGTCCAATCATTTATTAACTTGACTCAATAATTTCAAATTGACGAGTATTACTCTCCATCAAACTAGCTGTAAGCTTATGTTTAACAATAGAAATAGATATGAAACATAGAGACATCTAAAAACTTTAAACATATGATAATTTTTTTTTTTTTTTTGAAAATACCAACTTCATATTTGCAATTAAGCCCCTATATGTGATAATTTATTTTAATAAAATCTAGATAAACTCAGTCAAACTTTAATCAATCAAATTAAATAATAAATGAGTGATAGATAGATAATATGAAAAAAAACTGAAAAATAATGATTTATCCAAGTTATTAGACATACTTGTTCCATCTCCTATGGTGGAATAAGAATTTACCTTTGGAACAATTTTGGACAGGATGAGGAATAATGCTTGTCTTCTTCAAAGTGTGGACCAAACACCTTACATCTTATTTTGTTAGGTTCAGTTTAGTTCTATTTGATGCTCTAAACACATTCTAAAGGATAGAGATATATAATTAGCAACTGTATCTAGACGTCCAGGATAAAATAATAAAATTTTTGAAATGCTAATTAACTTTCTGAATATATTAATATACAACAAGCCAATGTAAGATGATGTTTCTAGATTATTAGAGTTTTTTTTTCTTTTTATTAATTTAAAAGCTTTAAGTTATTAGACAAGAAGCAAACACTAATTTTATATTAAATGCATATGCTTAGTATGTGTGTGTTATGTTATGCTTTGATAATTATGTTATGTTGTGTTGTACTGTATTTTTGATAATTAATTGCTTTACTTTATAAAATTATATCTTTACTTAATAAAATAGTGACCTCCTCAATAAATTATTTTTCTTTTAATTAAAATAAGATATTTTTGTTTTGATTCAAAAGCAAAATATATTTTTTTAAATAACGTGGACCCAAACCAAATACTGCTTTATATATATATATATATATATATATATACATATATACACTTTAAAAACCAACAATTCCCAGGAAACACTAACTCTCTAACATTAACAAAATCTCTGGCATCCCCAAATTAATAATATAAATTGTAAATATTAATCTTATCCAATTAAGTTTAGAGTCCATTATTATGGATTGGACATTTTTCTTTCATATGTTAAATTTTTGGATGAGGATGATATGAATTGACATTGATATCTCTGTAAAAAGATAGGCCCGAGTCTAATGCAGTATAGGATTCATGATTATCATGGAGTACAATAATTGCCATATGGTCCCAAGTTCCCAATCCCCAAAATCCTTGTGCACATTAATCAAAGCTAACCCGAGATGGTAAGAATCTAGATAGCACGTGAGTTGAACACGTGCAATAGACTTCCACTTTGGGTTATAAAATAAAAGCATGGATTGACCACCCTTTTAATTTGGGTGTGAATTTTGAGTTATCATCTTCTTGGATTACTGTTCTTCAGATTCAAATTAGGGTCCATCGTGAAACCAGCTTACCCCACTAAAGTTCAACAGGCACCACAGCTTGGCTCATCCTAATGGGCTGTGATAACATTAACCACGTTAAGCTAAACCAGTCTGCTGCTTCTATTTTTCATTTTTTTTTTTTTTTTTGATAGTATTGGTTCGTCTACCTTTAATGCTTGCTATTTGGAGTATACGGTATTCGATTTTAATGAAAATTCATATTGAATTGAAATGAATAGAAATATTTATTTTAATTTGGTTTTTGAATTAAATTTTTTTGAAAAAGTGAATCTAATTTATTTTGATTTTTCGAATTCGATTTGGAGTCTGAATTTTTAAATTTGGTTAAACACTTTCAATGAAATGAGATACACACTATAATCTTATACTTATTCTTTCATTATAGTAATGTACACACTTTCATAAGTGTTTGAATTAAATTTTTTTGAAAAAGCGAATCTAATTTATTTTGATTTTTCGAATTCGATTTGGAGTCCGAATTTTTAAATTTGGTTAAACACTTTCAATCAAATGAGATACACACCATAATCTTATACTTATTCTTTCATTATAGTAATGTACACACTTTCATAAGTGTTTTTTTCAAACACTTCTTTTACATAATAAACAAGAACCATTTTATATAGGAAAAAAATAAGTGATTTATTTTGAACCTCTTGTCTATGCAATGAAAACTAAACAAAATTGCATCCAATTAGCGCTTGTATTTGTAAAGAAATATAAAAACAATAACCCATTGTATAGGTTAAATTTGTCTCAAAAAAATTAATTAAATAACTTAGCTAATCCATGTTATTTTTCTCAAATTTTTGACATAAACCCAAACTACACTCGCAAATAATGGATTGAGGATGAGTCTCGCTCAATACAAGATCATGGGTTGTAAGGATAGACATATATGTCTCTGGGAGGGTTGGTGTCTATGTCTTATTTTTTAAATGCATTAGAAAAATTGATTTGGTGGGCCCAAAGCAGGATTTGCTAGAGGAAGACTCAATTTTTACCTTTTTTTATTTTTAACTATAATGCTAAAGAAGTTTAGCTTAAAAAAATTAAATTCTTCAAACCAAATTTGATCGTCTAAACTTGGATGACATGACATGATGTGGTCAATGACCATCTTCTTTCATTGTAAATATCAATCTCATATCATTATGAGAGAATAAGAACTTTTGTATCGAGAAAACTTTTGACTTTTGAATTTTTAATCTCTAGTAAAGAAAACTCCAAAACTTTTTATCACAAACCTTTACTACCCATACACCGGACAATACCTAAAGCTCTATCTCGTTTGGTTTTTGACTATTCACCTATCGGTTAATTGACTTGTGTCTTGCTAGCATTACTTATTTCTCTTCCATATTTCTCACAATTTGCATCATTATTACTTGGTTATTGACTTGTTGCTTTACAAGTCACAACACCGGCTTTCTATACCTTGATTAGCTTACCGACAATCATTTGATCATCTTATGTATTTTGGCGACTCCATTATAGAGTTAGTGATTCCGAAGTACAAAGGTCCATTTTATGACCACCAAGAAGAACATCGAGTCTTGGTGCTAGCTCAATCGTTGACAACAATTATGATACTTTGTATGATATTAATCATAATACTAACAATGCTAGTATACTTAACATTGAGAATATCAAAAATCATCCAAATCCTTAAATTAATAGTGATAGCTTACCAACACTACCAAGCACAACTAGGAGGTGTCCTACCTTGACTTGTTGCCCAAGCCCCTATCATAATTGTTCCATATTCAGTGTCTTTAGGCCATGATAAAAGTGTTAAAGGTTTTTTAAGATGCTCAACTCATACTCGTAGCAGGGAACAATAATAGATTTTTAAAGTCCTCTAAGACAACAATGTTGTATTTACCTAAATCTTTTGTAATATCACATAACCACTATCTATAGTTTAAATTCTCTAAATTGTTATCCCTCGCACTATAACACTACCAACTATTATTGTTGATGATTATCTTATTTCACATGTTCAATCAAAAGATAGAAAAGGCATTTTTTCCATCAAACAACCATCGCGCGGCTATACATGACTACCAACCACCTCATTATGTTACTACCTTTAATGATAATATCACTATCTTACCGAAGAGGTATTAGAAAAGTTCTTTAAATGAAAGTTAGCAAAATCAACTAGCAAGTTTGATCTCAAAATTTCCTATTCAACTCACATTGTCATAAAGCTTTATTCGAAGGCCTACGTGAGTTCTAAATTTGAAGTTTGCAATGCAAAATAAAAAGATGCCAATAAGCATCTCATGAAGTTTATAGAAACCCTAAGCTTTTATGGCTTAGATGATGATTTAAAGCTAAAAGAATTTTCTAAATCGTTGAATAAGAAAGCATACACTTAATATGTAAATTTGACCTCTAACTCTGTCTAGATATAGGCGATTATGTGCAAGCTATTTACTAAGAAATTTTTCTCCACCCATAAAAGGGTGATCGTGTCTTAGGAAAAGAATATCAAAGTTGTTGAAAAGATTTATTGGAGTAAGTTAAGTAGTTTAGAGACCATACTCTGGACATTCAAGAGGGTTTTGATGAGAAAGAAGTTGCCAAACTATGTATCCAAGGCATATACAAAGAATACATGATAATCTTGAGAATTTAGGCTTAACAATTTTTTCTACCTTAATAAAAAACACTCACCGAACCAATAACTCCATTGTCATTTATAGAAGGAATGACTTCACTTCGTTGTTACTCGGTACCAAAAGAGGTTATTCAATGAACACCATCTAGTTAGATGAACAAACTAATAGAAGACTAAAAGAAGCAGTTGCACATCCGAATCCACCACTACCTTTTTCTTTCACCATGGGCATGGTACATGCTCTGTTAAATCAATAGGTGGTTGACCAAGTTGTTATCCTTTCATGAGTGAAGAAATTCTCATATCAAAAAGATAAAGAAAATCTCAAGGATTATCAATGTCATAGATACGCGGGGCATTCAATAGAAGACTATCTTAACTTGAGATTTTTATTTGAAGAAAATCTAAACAAGGGAGAGATCATTTTTTACGATGAAAATAATTTTAAAGAAACCCTACCACAACACCAAAATTGCAAAAATAGCTAACCGAATGCCATTTCTTTTGACTTAGTTGAGTATGGAAAAGAAGAGTTAAACTCACATTTACTAAGTTGCTCCCAGCCACATCATGTTCCATGTCAAAAAAGTAGATGACATTGATAACTAAGTTACACATTCTTTTTTAAAACTCTTAATTTTTACTAATAAACTTGTTCTTGACTCTTGTAATTCTTGAGTATTTCTTCCTAATAAAAAAAATTATTAAAGATTGGTTTCACCTTATGGTTAAATATTGTTTAATCATTATGATTAAAAAACAAAATGCATGTACTTGGCACTTCAAAAATAAAAATAAATAAATAAATATGTGGCTAAGTCGCTTGCTAGCAAGACCGTGAGTATTTCATTTTTTTTTTCGATGGCAACGTCATGTTCATCCGGTCAAGTCGTATACCGACTAGGCCGTGAGTATTTCATACTTAATTTTTTTTCTTTCGATGGCAATGCAATGTTCATCGAGCCAAGATGAGCATTAGCCGTGCTACAAGTATTTCATACTTAGTATTTTTTATGACAACGACATATTTATCTAGTCAAACTATGAGTATTTCATACTTGGTTTTCTTTTTTCTAATGGCAATGTCGTATTTATTTAGCCAAGTTTTGAGCTAGTCGGACTATGAGTATTTTATTCTTAATTTTTTCTTTTTAATGGCAAATCCATATTAATTTAGCCAAACTATACGTTGATTAGGGCTTGAGTATTTTATACTCTTTTTTTATGATGACAATGCCATGTTCAATTGAGCAAGCTACACACTCGGTCGGCTATAAGTATTTCATATTGTTTTTATGGTGATATTATGTTCATTTAGTCAAACTTCGAGTTGGCTAAGCTATAAGTATTTCATACTTAGATTTTCTTTTCTTTTCTTTTCTTTTTTTTTTTTAGGATGACAACATCATGTTTATTTGGCCAAGCTACTCGTCGACTAGACTATGAGTATTTCATACTCACCTTTTTTTTTTGTTGCTTTATGATGGCAATACCATGTTTGTTTGGCCAAGCTGAACACTAGATAGGATATGAGTATTTCATACTCAGCTTTTATGGCATCACCATATTCATATACCTAGGCTATACACTAGCCGTACTCGTGAGTATTTTATATCTAGTATTTTTTCTTCCCGATGATAGCATCATATTCATTTGGTCAAGTTATGTGTTGGCTAATCTGTGAGTATTTCATACTTTTTGTTTATGGCAATATCATGTTCATTTGGCTAAGCTACATTATGTCCGGATTGTGAGTATTTTATACCTGGTTTTCTTCTTTCTTTATAATGGCGACTTCATGTTCTTTTGACCAAGTCGTGTACTAATCATGCTATAAGTATTTTATATACTTAGCTTTTTTCTTTCCAATGGTAAAGCCATGTTCATCTAGTAAAGCCGCATATTGATTAGGTCATGAGTATTTTATGCTCAAATATTTTTTATAATGGCAATGTCATATTCATCCGAAAAAGTTACATGCTAGTTAAGTTCGTGAGTATTTTATATTTATTTATTTATTTTATGGTAGCACTATGTTCATCCGGCTAAGCTATGAGTATATCGTGCTTAGTTTTTTTGAATAGCAACATCATTTTCATCCGGCTAAGTCGAGCGTTATCCATGCTATGAGTATTTCATACTCGGCTTTTTATGAGAACGTCATGTTCATCCGGCCAAGCTATGAATTGATATGGTTATGATTATTTCATACTCATTATTTTTTCTTTTTGATAGCAACGCTAGGTCCATCATTCAAGTTTTGTGCTAGCCAAACTGTGAGTATTAAGGGTGTTTATTTCTTTTTTATTTCAGTTTCATATAATTTTGGTTCAGTTTTGATTAATCAAATCCTTAAAAATATAAACCAAACTCAAACTGAATAAATTTCAATTGTTTGATTTTTAGTTGTAAATATTTTGATCTTAAATTTTTGGTTTTAAGGAAAAATTGAATTTACAAAATTTTTGAATCTTAAAGGACCAATGTAAACTTTAAGCACTAACAAAGAACTTCTATTACCGAGAAATTCTCTATGAAAATCCAAGCTTTAATAAATAAAACACAAGTATATTTTATAGCCATAGTCCTATCTCTCTCTTTTTTTTTTTCCACGTAGGATACTTGAACATTAGCTTAAGTAAGTTACTTTTATAGCCTTACTCCTATCTTCCCATTTTATTTTCTTACAATGTGGGATACAAGAGCACAAATACATTACGGGTTCACTAACTTAATCTTGTAACTAATAACAATCCTACATCTCTTAGTTTGGGATTTAAAAGGGAGTGTTCACTTATAAAAAGAAGCCGGACTTCTTATTCTATTACTTACGAGTAATTCCTATAGGATGTTAGGCTTGCTATTTCGTGGCCTTCTAAGCCTTTAGGTTTAGTGGGTTGTTGGCTTGCTTTTTCAAAGCTTTTTATATGTATAGAGTTCTTTAATGTCTAATAAGAAATGTTCTAACTAAGCCTAATTTTTTTAATTATATAAAATAAAAATCAATTAGCTATATCTATTTTGGTTTTTAGTGGAAATTGATTTTCAAATTTTGAAAACCAAATCGAAATTGAAAACCATTGTAAATTCGGTTCAATTTTTTAAATATAAATTTGAATAAAAAACTAGATCAAAATTGATATTTTGGTTTAGTTTAGTTTTTTAGTTTAAACTAAAAAGTGAACACCCCCGGAGAGTATTTCAAACTCGGTTTTCTTTCTCGATAGCGATTACATGTTCATTTGGCCATGTTGCACACTAGCTAGGATTTGAGTATTTCATACTTAGTTTTTTTTCTTTCTAATGGGAACATCATGTTGATTTGATCAAGTTACGTGCTAGTCAAGTCTTGAGTATTTTATACTTAGTTTTTTCTTTTCTTATGACAACACCATGTTCATCCGTCCAAGTCGTGTTGGTCGGATTGTGAGTGTTTCATACTTGATTTTTTCTTTTTGACGGCAATGTTATATTCATTTGGCCAATCTACACATTGGTCGAGCCATGGCTATTTCATACTTAGCTTTTTTTTTTTTCTAATAGCAACATTGTATTTATCTAACCGAACTACATGCTAGCAAGATTGTAAGTATTTTAAACTCAATTTTTTGGTTATTTAGATGGATTTCGGTAAGGGCAATAAGGGAGGTTGGTTATGGTACTGGTGAAAGAGGGTGGTATGTAGCTTTTGAATCTATCTATCAAATGTTCGATAAAATTCCTGTATGACTCCCATATTGGGCATCTCTTGTTTCTTCCATTCATTGTCCGTTGGTAGTTGGGTCTTTATTAGTAGGGGTTGAGAGTGGCTTTAATGGCGGTATGAGGGTCTAGTGGAGGAGGCTTTGGTTAAAAGGAATGATGGTGATAGGGCTTTATAGGTGATTGACATAAAAGTAGGTTTTAGCTAGATTTAAGCTTTTTTGTTAGGTTTTGGTTAGATACGATTGTGATTGTTAAAGGGAAGAAGAGGTGAAAATAATAGATCTATGGTGGCCTTGAGGGTAGGGAGTAGAGGTGACGGTAGGCTTGAAGATAATGGGTTTGTAACCATGAGACGAGCTTATTGATGTTGTTTGTTATGGTGGGACCTTGTAGCTACGAAGATAGCTACTATAAATGAGCTTTATAGTGGTGGATTATGGTGGATTTGTAGTGGGTCAATGGGTAGTGATAACAAGTAGTTTTGATGGGTTTTTTTTAGTGAGGTAAGGGGTTGTAATGAGATGTCTTTTTTTTCCTTGAAGGATTTTAGCAATGTATAAGGTAATAATGAAAGAAAGTGTGGTGGGTTTTTTTTATCGAGTTTTAAAAATGACTGTGGATGGTGTTTTTGGTGATGGTGTTGAAAATAAAGAAATGGCTTGGTGTGGGTGATGAAGATGAAAAGGATGCTTGGTGTGGGTGATGAAGATGGAGAAGATGGCTTGGCATAGGCAAGACTATTGGTTGGGGTTTGGAAGAGTTATATTGGAGGAAAAGCTGTGATGATGTGTAGGCTTCAACTAGTTTTAGATAGTGATGAGGAAGAAGATGATGGATTTATGGATGAGAGAAAGAGGTCTATAGAGATGTATAGAGGTTCGTTTAGGGTTTTAAGTAGTATAGGGTCTAGTGGTGCTAGGCGAGTGGTAAATGTGGTTATTGTTTTTTGGTAAGGATAGATAGCTTGGCGAGTAGTGAGATGAAGGGTATATGGTTACTAGTAAGAGCTTAGTTTTGGTACTTGGTGAACTATCTACCAAGTGTTTGATAAAATCCTCTTTTGATATCTAATTTTGTTTTTGTGCTTATGGTCTTCAATATCGTTGCTCATCTTTAAGCTTGTAACTTGACTAACAATAGCACGTATCAACTACAACCTTCATCTCATATCCTTATGTGTAGGGGTCTCGTGGTGGTTTAAGTGGTAACTCGCGTTTAGGATTTATTGAAGTCAGCTACTTGTGATAGAGATGAAAGCTAGTGGGGTGCCATGATTTTATGTGTTTTAACCATGAGAGATGGTTGTGTGGTATGGTTTATGGTTTTTCTAGTAAGGTAAGGGAGAAGAAATGGGATATAGAGAGATGATGGTGAGAAAATAGCAAGGTGATAAGTGTGGTTGTGTATAGCTAATGTGAGGATTAAAGTGGAAGGCTTGTGGGAGATAGTTACCGATGAATGCATAATTAACATGATTTTTATGCTCTATTACATTAAATTTTTTAATAATTATTGTATTATATTATGTTGTTTAATAATAAGATGATGGTTTTGGCTTTCGTTTGAAAAATGATGAATCAAGTTTGTGTAATTAGTTGTCTAAACTTGCATGTGGTAGTAACCAAGAGTTGATAATTATGTGGTGTTTTCATTCAATTCCTTGAAAAACATAAAAATAGGTTACATCTTCTCTAACATTTAAGAAGGTGGCTTAGCTTCACCTATCTTTCTCATTTTAAAGATGTTATTGGATTAAATCTATCTACTTATTTAATAGGGTTTTCAATAGCTAGGGAATTAATTGGATATCGTATATTTAATTAACGACTAACAAAGGAAAGATTGCAATAACATACATGTCTTACGCTGAATATTCATATTTAGGATAAGTTAATTATTTAATCAATGATCTGCGACCAAACTAAAAGTCGATACGAAGTTCAACTAAGGCCTTTTTAATAGTGTTACTCTTTACTACTTTCTATTATTTTTAAGCATTTTAAAAACACAAACCCCCTTGTTATACTACAAGAACATTTAAACAACCAAAATAATTGATTGATTACCTTTTTTGTGGGTTCAAATCTTACTTGTCCTACTTATATAATCATAATTAAAATCTCCGTAAGAAAAATATAAATTACTAATTTATTGGTGGTATGACACGTCATTAAATTTTAGCATCGTTGTCATGGACTATAATTGAATTTTATTATTTTTGGATATTTTATATTGTTTTTGTGTTTTGGTTATCTTGAGTATATGACCGAGTCTCAACTGAAAGAGTTGATTTTTAATCTCGAGCGAGAAAGAGAATTAAACAAATTGAGAAAAGAAGCAAGGTTAGCTTCGATTGAGAGAATTAAGTCATTTGAAAGAGTGATTTCACCGGGTATAACATGATTCTTGACTTTTTATCATCGAGTGATCGAGAATAAGAAGATATGGCTACGAATAGGGTAAACAAGAAGTTGGCTACTTTTGATCTTAATCGGCGACCTCTATGTATCAAGTTTCCTAATCTAGAGGTGGTGTTTGAGCTAAAATCAACATTGATACATCCGGTTTCAAAATTTCAAGGTCTAGCTAAAGAAGAGCCTCATAAACATGTCAAAGAATTCCATATGGTCTACTCAACCATGAGACCACAAGAAATATTGAAAGAGCAAATCAAATTGAAGGCATTCCATTGTTTCACTTGGATGGGGATGCTCGGGATCGATTATATGATCTCCATATAGGATCAATTGACTCTTAGAAAAGAATGAAGCAAATATTTTTAATGAAGTACTTTCTTGCTTCAAAGGTTACAAGTATAAGGAAGGAAATTTATGGGATTCGATAATTTACTAGAGAAACTCTTTAGGAGTATTGAGAGTGGTTTAAAAAGTTATGTTCCAATTTGTCCACACCATTAGATTTTTTATCGGCTATTGATTATTTAGTTCTATAAGGGTTTGCTCTTTTTGAAGAGAAGCATGATAGATGTGACGAATGAATGAGCACTGGTAGATAAAATGCCTAATGTTGTAAGGGCTCTAATATTAAACATGACTACTAACTCATAGCAGTTTGGTGTGAGGATTGATCACGTAACAAAAAGGGTTAATGAGATCAACATTTCGAGTTTAGAGCATCGGATGTCGGATTTGACTTCTTTGGTGAGATATATAATGGTTGGTAATCTATAAACGGTTAAGGTTTGTGGAATTTATTCTACTACCGAACATATAACGGATGCATGCTCGACCTTACAAGAGGACACACAAAAGAGGTATATGTAGTCGAAAGCTTTGGAGGTGGCCAACCAAAGCCATATCATCCTTACTCTAATACTTATAATCCTAATTGGAGAGATCACCCCAACTTGAGGTATAGGGATAATAGGCAAGGTGGGTAAAACTTCTATCAATAAAGGCAACAAGGGTACCAACCTAGGCCCTTTCAATAACAAGCCTCACCATATTCTAAAAATTCTCTAGAAGAAATAGTGAAGTATCTCATTCGAGCACTAAACAATTCTAGCAAGAGACTAGATTAAACATTCAAAATCTAAAAAATCAAATGAGTCAACTAGTGACTCGTTGTGAGTCATTTAAAGGCTCAAGATGGAGGGAAATTACCATCCTAAATGATGATAATCCCAAGGAGAATCCGAGTGCTATGACCTTAAGGAGTGGTGATTGGGTAGAGCAACCAAGTAAAAGGATGTCTAAATTATTGGAAGAAAAAAAGAGTAAAGACAAAGGAACGGAAGGAGAGCACAACCATTGATGGGAGGACACCAAGCTCTACGATAAATTTTAACCATTTTACTTATTTTCTAATTGATCAAGTATCATTTCCTCGCAAGTTAGAAAAGCCCGGGAAAGAAGAGTTAAAGAAAGAGAAAGAAAAAGAGATCTTTGAGCTATTCAACAAAATAGAGGTGAACATACCTTTATTGAAGGCCATAAACAAGTGCCTCGATATATCTAGTTCTTAAAGCACTTGTGCACAAACAAGAAGAGGCTGAACATGAATGAAAAAGTAAGAATAAGGGAGAATATTTTCATGGTATTGCATCAAAAAATCCCTCCCGAGTGTACGAATCCGGGTATGTTCACTATATTAAGTCAAATCGAGTAGTAAGAAAATAGACAAGACCATGTTAGATTTAGGGAAATCAATTAATGCAATGACATACTTTGTATATATGTTGCACTAAATCTAGTGGTCTTTAAAAAATAAAAATGTGATCATACAATTGGTCGATCACATTAATGCCTACCCCGAAAGGGTATTGAAAGATATTCTTATGTAGTTGAACCAATTTATGTTCTCAATTAATTTCTACATCTTGAAGATAAGAGACAAATCTCCATAGAATCCCATACCTTTCCCGTTAAAGAGGCCATTCCTAAAGACCAGTAAGAATAAACATAAATATCCATAAGGAAGCTCTCACCATGAAGTTTGATGGTGAGATGATTTGGTTTAGTATCCTCAATAAGGATAATGCTAGGATACAAGGATGCTCGAGATTGAGCTTGACAATAAAAGATCCCCTTTGATAGGGAAAGGTAAAGTCGAGTCAACGATATAAAAAAAAACACTTATTGGGAGACAACCTAATGATTCTTGTAAATTTTGAATTTTGATTTAAATTTTAAGTTAGTCATTTGATTTTATGTTTAAATTTCACCTATACTTAACTTAATAGAAAGGATGTGCGGTATAGATACTTAGGTGTGTAGATTTAGCTAAATTTTCAAAGAGCAAAGAAGAGAACCCAAGCGAGTGGCAAAAGACACAATTTAGAGAAGAAAGACACACGTCTATGTGCTTAAAAAAAGGCTACAAACAAAAATAAGAGAGAAAAGTAACACGAGTAGCAACCATTCACACGATTTGTAGAAGGAAATGGCAGATTTGTGTGCCTAAAAAATGAATGAAAATTGAAGAAAGGAGAAAAGAGACATGGATAGTAGAGTTTTTACACAATTTTATGTAGTAAAAGACACATGATTGTGTGACTCAATTGAGATAATTCAAATTTCAAAAAGGAAAAGACACACGAAATAGAATGGTTTTCACATGATTTGTATAGTAATCTTACATGATCGTATGAGTTGAATGGAGTTTTTAGATTATAAGAGATACGGGTAGAGTGATTTCACGCAGTTTACGTAAAGATTTCTATATGGTCGTATGGAATTCAAACCATTGCATTGGTTAGGGAGAAGAAAAGACACACGGACGTAAAGAAAGACACACGGTTTGCACATAAAAGTTACACGAACGTATCTTTTTTTAGGTTAAAAGTCACATGGTTTGCCTTTCAAAAACTTATCCCTATATAAACTAAAAACCTAGTTGTATGACTTCATCTTCTCTAAAAGTCATATTGTGCCGCCATCTTCTTCTTCTCTATTCTTTCTTCTTTTTCGGATATAAATCTCTCACACATAACCACCATGATAAACCATACCTCTATAAATCAACATTATCACTCCATTATAGATCACCAAAGAACCCCTTTACACCATCCAACTAAAGAACCCTCAATCTTTCTTCCCTCAAAGGTATCCTAGAAACAACAATGTCTACTTTAAGAGACAAGAGAAAGCAAATGATGGCACAACAAGGAAAGAGCACTCATAGGAAGGAACCGGCCATAAAGGAAGGCTACCTTTTCAAATCTTACCCTAGGATTGAGTTTAAAAATGAAGAGCAAGAAGCCTACTATAATATTTTATAGAATAGAAAAGTGATAACAAACATTTATGTTATGGATTTGTTAAGAGAAGTGGGGGAGATGCTTGGAACTTGTAGGATGGGTGAATTTGTTAATAATTGATGCTCCTTCTTATAAGGAGTTAACATAGGAGTTTTTAAGTTTGTTTCGATTGGAAATGATAAAGGAGGAGCAATAGCTAGCTCATGATTATTTTATTTTTCACATAACAAATAAAAAATATAGTGTTGATGTGAATACTACGATGAATATGTTTGGTTGGCCGCATGGTGATAGAAAGCAATAGCTTTTAGGTTTGAGAAGCCCTTTTAGAGGGAGATTATAGGTTCACTATAGGTAGTATAGAATTCATTATAATCGAAAGTATTGGTGATAATAAACCCGACTTATTGGTATATATATCGGGTGCTAGCATGGATGTAGTGTGAAAGGGAAAAAAATAATTGGGTGGTAAGTAAAATCGAATTGGCAATTCTATACTTCATCTCTCAAAAGGTGAAGGTTGATC